CTCATTACAGCCTTCGAATTCTTGCACGGTTGATGACAGCTAAATTCCTACATAGAGAAATCAGAGAGAAAGGAGGGGCTTATGGTGGAGGTGCCAAACTTAGTCACAATGGCATATTCACTTTCTACTCCTACAGGTAACAATGGGTTCACTCCTTCCTGTTCATGTCTGAGGGGACCACTGACTGCACTTGTATGTATCTTATTTTTGACTTAGGTGTAGCTGTCTTTCAAGATCAAGTGAAATAAAAAGAATGAAATAGCAAGGAAGTGATTCAGTGCTGATGATGTTAAGATTAATTGCTTAAGGTATATAATAAACCTGTCCTTGCTTTCTCTGGTTTGTGTCCTTGGGAAAGCCTAACTTCTCTCTGCTGGTAGCAACCACTGTTGTGTCTCTGTATGTAGATGTTTACTGTCTCAGTACCAGCTTTATCTAAATCTGACTTTCACTTGTTTGAGGAGGCCCTAAAAAAGGGAATTCAAGACTGTTCTGAATTTGAGACCTGGAAGTAGAATGATGTTGTTTCTTAATGTCCTCAGTTTGAAAATATGCAGCTTCCTTTGGTGGCTGACTGGAATTACCAGAGATTCAGCAGAAAGCATTGCTGGTGATGAGCTAGGACTGCTTTCTCCTTCTTTTCTTTTCCTCTTTTTTGCCAGTCCAGAACAGTTACCTTGCATTGGTCTTACCAAAGCACTTTTAGATGAAATTTGAACTGGAGGTATTAAAGGCTAGCGATAATCCCCACTAAAAATGTCATGGGGCTAGAGTCCTGGCTTGAATAATTTTCCTAGGCCGAAGGCAGTCTAGTGCAGTACTTGGTTGAGATTCCTAGCTAAAATTTAAGCAGCCTTGCCTCTCTTATGGAGCTTCAACATGGTAGGACTTGTCCTGGTTAGTATTTCAGTAGTTGTTAACCTGTTGCACCTGTTTTACGGAGACCAAAAACAGGTGTAGCAGGAAAAGCAACTTAGAGAAGATATGGTGTATCATAAATATTACTGTTGTTGATATTAATGGCAGTTATGCTTACTAAGCTGTTGCAGCAAACTGATAGCGCATTTTAAACGGTGCTTGTTGACCATCTTTTTTGAATACCGGTTCTCTGCACACTGTCTTGGAACTACTTTTAGGCAACTGAACTTGCTGCACTTGTGTATCTAAAATTCAAAATATACATGGTTTATAACACTTCTTTCTTCTGAAAAAAAAAAAAAACACAACCAAAACAAACAAAGCCAAAACAACCACAAAACCTCTTTTGGTACTTAAAAAGAAGTTTATCATTTGGTTTAATCTCCATGTATGTATGTAGGTTTGTGTCATGCATAATAAACTATGAATGAAATGAGAACAAAGCAATTACAGGTTTTCATTTTGTAGGACTGAAGTAATTAATTTTTTTTTTTTCTTCTCAGAGACCCAAATTCATTAGCCACGTTGAAAACGTTTGAAAAAGCAGTTGAATGGGCCAAATCTGGAGAATTCACACAACAAGATATCGATGAAGCTAAGCTAGCAGTATTTGCTGCTGTAGATGCACCAATAGCTCCTTCAGATAAAGGTATGGTCTCACCAGCTTCCCAGTGCTACCAGTATTTTTTTTTTAATTGAAGTTTAAAGGGAAGAAAATAAACTAAACTGTCATATGATAAAATTGATTATCACGTAAATAAGCTAAACTGTATCATGATAAAATTTGTACTTGGCAGATGTAAGACAATTGCAGTTTCAACAAAGCAGTCAATTCCTGTTGCTCCCTTTCAGAAATACCACATGCATTCAGTCTCTGCTGAAGTTTTTGTATTTGTAATGCTCCTTGATGTCAGCTGAATACAGCCAGGAGATGGTGGGAAAGAAACAACTTTAGGCTTGGAGAGGGCATTAAATGCAAGCAAATAAAAAGAAATCTTAGTATTCTAATTGAAAAAAAGCTGAACGATTATTTTCCTGACACAAGTATGCATATTGACCATGAATGTCACTAACCTTTTGTACATATTTTTTGAAGAGTTAAAGTCTGTCTGCAATGGTGGAGGGTGTTGTCTTTACATATCTGCATACTTAGGATGGCTTGGTAGTATCTTCACATCTTTCAGTTTCCTCACACGTTGCTTTGCTTGCCTCACTTTTCCCTCCCTCCCCCATTTTCAGCTTACTTTCAGTCCAAAACTTGCTGAGTTAGAATACATTCCTTTCCTATACATAAAGGAATTATAAGGTTAAAATTAGCATTATTTTAATATGTACTTATATTAACAATAACTAACTAAACAAGAAAACTTAAAATGAAGCTGACTTTCAGGTGATGGAACTTGGTTTTGGTCTAGGCAATTAAAGAAAAAATAATTTTAGGTGCATACGAGTGAAATGCATGCATATTGAATGTTGGTATTTGTGGGAGTAATGATTTACATTTTTTGATATTTGAACATGCATCTTAATGGAGCTATGGCAAGTTCAGTGAAACACTGAAGAGAAGAACATTGTTCAGTAGGCCTGGAAGCTGTTGCAGAGAGAAATACCTGTCCCTTCATATTGCTGTTATTTGGATCATTGGGCCCTGCATAAGGACTTGGACCACCTCACCTGACTTGAAGTCAGCCCTGCTTTGGGCAGGAGCTTGGACTGGTTGACAGATATCCTCCCAAGCCACTTTTTTTCCCCTATGATTATTTGCATGACAAAAACTTTTCTGTTATTATTTTGGAGTTCTCTGGTTGTTCACGGACCTATAAATTTTAATATTAAAATACTGTAGGCAAGTATTCCAACAAAAGCATTAAAGCATTTGTATGCAGATTTCTGTGTGTAGTACAAAAAGATGATCAAACCTTTGCATTGCACGTATATTACAATGGATCGCAAATTTTAAGAGCTTTTTGTTTTAAACCACAGTAAAAATAGAAGCTTCATGAAATGCAGTTTGGCTAAAACGTTGTTAGAAAGTACTGAGATTCTTTAGAATGAATCACATTTAGCTTTTCTGGACCACCATTACATTTAGATTTTTGACAAACTAAATCACTTGCTATAATAGAATATGAATCTCTTTTTTCCCCTAAATAGGAAACTCTTACTACCTCAGAAAATTAATTTACCCAGTTCTAACCTTTGATACTTGATTTACAGTTAGATATTGTCTCAGAACAATGGCCTAATGGTCATCTCTATTCTTCCCTTCCAGCACACATACCATCTTAGTTTGCATTCGTTCATGCACTTAGTTGTAACTGAGATTCCAGTGCACCAATGCAATGCGTGGTTTTGTTTTGTTTTGTTTTTTTTCCTAGGAATGGATCATTTCTTATATGGGATTTCAGATGAAATGAAGCAGTCACACAGAGAACAACTTTTTGCTGTCAACAGTGATAACCTGGTTGATGTATCAAACAAGTAAGTCTGTGCTCAATTTAGAAAAATGTTTACTTGAAAAACAGAACAAAAACTTAATTTAAAGAAGAAAACAGTTTATGAAAGTTGCCATAATAAAGTTTTTGATTTCTTCCCTTGGCCTTTTGTACTACTTTCACTACTTGCTTTTGTAACCTAGAAAGAGAGAGGTTAATTATGTCCTGCTTACTGCATTTTAGCAGATGTAACTCCCTCTTACATTCTGAACTTGTGGGAGATTGATTTACTTTTGAAGAGTCCAGAAACTGCCTGGAGAGAGTACATGCAGACATCCAGCTCATGGCTGTATGAGCTGGTTCTTCTAGACTCGCAACATTTTGTGCTTCTTGAGGCTTCTGAATTCTACTACTGAAGAATACAAGGTTAAGCAGATAGGCTAGTTAGCGCTATGCCTTAGGAGACTGTTGTATTGCGATGACTGGGGAAAAATCACTGTAAATGCAAAGGGGTACGTATCAAAAGGCACTTTTTTGTGAGATGGGAGCATTTTGAACTTGTATAGCAGAGTTACGGATAACTGAATACAGCAGCTTCTCACTTGCTTTTGTTTGTTTTTTTCTTGCAGGTATCTTGCAGTTGGGAAGAGCACTCGTGGTCAAGCTGTACTTGGTCCAGAAAATGCAGATATTACCAAAGATCCCTCATGGGTCAAACGATGAATTGCTGCTGAACATCCAAGCTAATATAAAACAAGCCAACATGTGTGACTATGGAATTAGGTGTTTTTAGTAACTTTTTACCAGTGTTATGGTTCAACTTAAATGTTCACTGTTGCTTTTAACAGTGTCCAACAAAGCAGTTAAAAGCTGTCCTTCTGGAAATAACTATGTGAAAAATTTTCTAACAATACAGTAATTGAGATCAAGAAGTATATGCTGTGTATAGCAAAGACAGACCTTAGTATTTTACTGAAGATTCACTCTTCCAATTGCATATGAATACTATATAAATTAAATATTTTTGTATATGTAAAACTCTGTATTTAAATGGTGTTTGTTTGAACTCATGTCTGCTGTTGGATATACATAAAGAACTATGTCTCTCATACTGACAGCTTTCATGCTTTGGTGTGATAATTCCAGCTTGCTTTGCATAAGCCACCTACAGGTAGACTCATATCAAGCTGAGTTTGTAGTGAATTGCACTGTAGTGGGCAAAAGTCACTGATGAATCTGTGTAAGCCTATTTAAGTTCAACTTAAGTTGCCAATTTAGGCAACATTTAGTCATATGATGATATGACACAGGCCAGTATTTAACTTTCTGTCACAGTCTAGTTTTTTTTAAATAGTCTTGGAAAAGCTGAGACAACAAAGGACCAGATGACACCCTTCCAAACCTCCCCCTCCCCCCCAAAATACTTCTATCATCCCTGTACAAGGAGAAAGGATTCTGAGTTCTAGCCCAATCCTGAAGAAGTAACAAAAACCAGCCTTGCCCTGCTGTGACTACTTCCTACATGATTAGGGAAGGAAAAGGGCTGTTGCTTTTTCCCTTCACTGGAGCGTATAGAGAATCCTTTATGAAGCATTATTCCCCCAATTGTTTAAAAGCAAGTGAATACAGTTTCTGACAAGTCACTCATGATGTTTGCAACAGTATTTTATTTCACTTCAGATACATTAAGCACATCCTGTAACTCAACACAAAGCTAGCCATCTACACTTATTTTTTGGGTGTTAAGTACTCTGAAACAAAGTGCAGTAGATGAGTAACTTACAGAGTGCATAGAAGGGTGCTGCACTTAGTTACTGTTAAAGGGTAGTATCAGTAAATGGTGCTTGTCCATTAGATGCTAGGGTTTGTTTCAAACATAACACAAATACAGGACAAAAATCTGTGTAACATCTGAATGTCTTGTTTCACATAAAGTGCTGGTACAATAATTTAAATGTTACAAAACAAAGCTGTAACAATTCTAAAGCATTGTTACTCACAATGTGCATCTATTACAATAATCTAGAAGTGATATCTTTAGATGGCTCCAGTTTCTGCTTCCTTTGGGCTGTGCATAGCAACATGCTCCAGCTGGCCTGAATCTGAAACATCATAGCTAGTCTTGTACTTGGCCAGGATTTTCATCAGTGGTCGTAGCTTCAGCCACCATTGCTCCCTGGGAATCCTGTGTCTGTAAGAGGT